CCACAGTGCTTAGGCCTACGTCCCTACATATAATTACAACTAACTCTGTTATCCCACTAGCGCTTCGATGGACATGAGTCAGTTTAGAGCTATAGGACGACTGAGCTTACACTGGACGACGAGACAGAGTAACATACCGTGGAAGACTGCGCTGCACGTGCACTGGACAATGTAGATCTGATGCTCAGCAGAATGACCAATGCAGATTTATTCAGGTAAATGTCACATTGTAGAGCTATATATATATATAAATATAGTCGCTATGACTTGTATATCTAGATAACGTATTGTTGTAAAGAGAAAGAGTAAGAGCAAACAATAGATTGATTATTACAATTCGATGTATGATAGAGTGTGTATATGATATATTAGATGAAGCTTCATAATGGATAAACGTAATGAATGTAAACAGCTGTCAAATATCAATGCTATACACTTGAGAACATTTGCTACACTCCTGCCTTGTTCATCGTTAGAACTTGTGGCTATCGGACTGTATTAACTAGTAGTTTGTGAAACACTAATGCTGCGACTTCAATAGTTTAGCGCATATTACCGTGTAATACTGTATTATGCTGTATATTGCGATGGGTTATTTTTGCGAATTTCACGAACGGGTCCGACCGTGAAGATAACACATGCGAATAAATTCATACGAATAATTACAGATATTCATATTCACGACGCGAAATTAACACTCGCGAAAGGTCCGTCAAGTCTGATTCGCGGAAAATATCTGTACCCGCGAAAATATGGCATATACATGTAAAATTAGTACATTCTTGGATGTATATAAATTATATGGACTTTTTGTGTTTTCAAGACATACATGTTGAATAGAACTAGACTTGCTCTATAACACCTATGGCTGGCATGGTCTCGAGACCAGACAGCATCATCTCCTCACGTATGCACAGAATAATTTAAGTAATGAAATTAATAAATTAAATAATAATTTTGTTTTAAATTAAATAATACAGATTTTCATATAAACCGCACCATATCAATAGATGTATTAACAATAGTGCGGTCGTGTATGTATGTGGATGGGTGGGTGAGGGTGTTTATGTGTGATTGCGTGTGCGTATGTGATTGCTCCGCGCGTATGGTACCTTTGTCTCTCTCTCTCTATTCCGATAACATGTAAATGTATGTGTTCGTGCGTGAGTGCATGCATGGCCATGCGTACATGCGTCTATTCCGATAACATGTAAATGTATGTGTTCGTGCGTGAGTGCATGCATGGCCATGCGTACATGCGTCTATTCCGATAACATGTAAATGTATGTGTTCGTGCGTGAGTGCATGCATGGCCATGCGTACATGCGTCTATTCCGATAACATGTAAATGTATGCGTTCGTGCGTGAGTGCATGCATGGCCATGCGTACGTGCGTCTATTCCGATAACATGTAAATGTATGCGTTCGTGCGTGAGTGCATGCATGGCCATGCGTACGTGCGTCTATTCCGATAACATGTAAATGGCATGCGCTTCCGTACACGTGCGTACGTGCATGCACTCATCAAGAAGGTCTCACCAGTGGCGGGATAACAAGGTGACTGTGTTTGAAGCGGCTGTCACTCCATTATCTGCATTAGCCTAGAGCAGTGCTTCTTGAACTGGTGAATGGTTCATCGAAAGGTGAATGAAATTATTTTGGGGTGAATGAAACTTACCATAACACATGAGGAAATTTAGTCGCGGGGGAATGAAATTTTGTGATAAAGACTCGAGGGTGAATGACACTGAAATAGTGTACACCCAACTTTAGCCTAAGACGTTACGCCCGCATATGTTCAAGGCATGAAATTGTTTTTTTGCACCGGTCCAGAAGGCTGGTAACAGCAGTTTTTTTACCAGCCATCACCATAATTTACCAGCCCTCTCAAATTTTGTTTTTTTTCAAAAATAAAGATAAGACTAGTTTCACTGACTCTTGCTTGTCCGAAATATGTTGTAGTGTGCGGCATCGCATAGTAGCTGTTGAACAGACTGTAATGCAGATCGTGAATGATGTCCGAAGTGTTTTTGTCAATGTCGTGTTTCACGCTTGCATTCTCGATTTCAAATTTATAAAATGTTGATAAAGTATGGCGTGATATCCTTCAGGTAAAACAGTAATGTAGGCTATTTGCTCATTATTTAATGCTATAAATAAAAATGTAGGTACTCGCTAACACGGCTGAAACCACCGGCTAGGAGGGCCAGTGTTTTGCGAATATTACTGGCCCTCCACATAATTTGGCGGCATATGCCGGTGTGCCCATGCTAATTTCGTGCCCTGGTGTTTATTTTCTGTCTAGCAAGCGGACGAGGAGGGCATCACGGACACGCTGCTTGACGGCAGGGACATGAAGACAATCATGGACACATGGACGCTGCAGAACGGCTACCCTCTCATCACCGTCACGAGAGACTATGCCGCCGGCACCGTCTTAGCGACGCAGCAGAGGTTCCTGTTAGACGAGGTTGTCAGATCTGCTCGCATGGACGAACTAGAGTGAGCGCTACTTTAAGCGGAAAGATTCCTGTACACATGAACTACTTTACGCAGAGAGATTCCTGTACACATGAACTACTTTACACAGAGAGATTCCTGTACATGCAAACTACTTTAATGAATGCTATTTTATAATTGCATGTCTTTGATGGATGGTATCCGATACATGCGAATAGTTTATGCAGGTTTATTCTTTGCTACAATATTTGTGCGTATTCCTGCGATGGAACTCTTGTACTAATTGAAATTGACTGTTGTGTTGGGGGCGGGGAACTAGTTTTTTCGTAGCTATATATTTTGCTAGCTATCTAACACCTGTCGTTATTTATCTGTATGCAGGACGATAAATTAAACGCTGCTATAACTATGTGTATATATTTTGATGTTTCTGGGTCACTCTTAGCGTAATGTGATTTAAACGCGTATAGTACCATAGTCTTTAAGCATTTCATAATTTATGACTGTGCAAATTTTCTTTTTTTAGTCAGGAGATATGAGGTTCTCCTCATCTGCATCTGTGTGATGAACTGAACTGGGATAACCAGATCAGAGTTGGAGCATCAACGACACAGGTAGTAATAAACGCTAGTATAAATGATAATAATAATGACAGTATAAAAAAAAAACATACTTTTTTTTTTTTTTCCCGTAACAGAAATCAATTTTATTTTTATATAGGAACAATATGTTTGTAAACTATAACATTATAACAATAAACTAATAATCGAATGCGTCAACCCTTAATGTTTCATGCCGTTCTCCATCCAGTACAGTCCAGGTTACGAAAGGTACCTCGCTAATTAAAGAGCTTACAATGTCATTTGAATGATTGTTATGTGAATCAATTATGCAGTATGAATTATCAATTTCATGAGCAGTTATGTTCTAATGCCCTTTACAGAGGTACATGCATGTCCGTAACCCTGACTGTACCCTTAAAGTGACTACGTCACCGTAAATAGTAAAAGTAAAAAAAATATTTCCACTTTTTACAATTAAGTAATTCTATTCACTTTTAGCTCAGCTGACAAGTCAGGATGCGCTTGTTAGAATCGCATGATTGCTCCTGCAGTCGTCAACAGTTGGGCAGATATCTTAACCGACTCGCTCAGTGTTGATTTTGCGTTAGTCTGTCGGATTCGCGAAAGACTCAGGGTATGTCAAATTTGAGGGGTCAATGGTCAAAGCGTCAGATGTGTCAGGAGGGGGAATATTTCCCCGCTAACTTAAGGTATAGTGGAAGGAATACGGAATTCGGCTCAATCCAACGGTTGACCTACGCTCTTAATACTTTGACGCTCTAGTGTGATGGGGAGAAACATCACCAGCGCGAATATTGAGTCACAGGTCAAAGGCAGTGGAGAAAGTCAGATTCAGACATTTCTGTAACATGGTTTAAGGACCTTGAGTCACTTTTTTGTTTCAGCACTGACTACCGTTTTTATCACTTTATTTGTTGAAGGACATGAATGTTACTTTCCACTGACATTGCGAAGAGTAGTTCTGATAACTTTTGACTCAAGAAGGAGGTTACATGGATTTGTTGCTTTAACACAGGACTGAATGTTTTTGCTATTAAGCCCCCTCCACCCTCCCCACACCACATCGCTCCGGCGCTTGACGCATATCATGATAACGTGATAAAATCAGCGATAGTAGATTAAGTACAGCTGTATCTTTATTACTGTACTACACAGCGCTCATTTGTTAGTAAGTTTACCATTCTTTTTTATTTATACTCTCATGTTATACCTATTCATACACCTGCTGTTTTGTAACTAAGTTATGTGCTAAATAAAGATTCTGAATCTGAATCTGGATCTTGCACTCACACTCACAGTGTCCATCGTGGATCGCATCCCGGCAACGACGAGTGGATTCTGGTGAACGCCGAGGCGGGCAATGTTCTACGAGTCCAATACGACGACGACAACTTTAACATGATCGTCGACCAGCTGAAGAGCCACAGGACGGACGTCGACGTCAAGAACCGCGCGATGTTCATCGACGACGCATTTGCGTCGCAGCTGGTTGCGCAGAGGCGGTGTGGTGTGGTGCGACACCAAAGCCGCTGCGACTGTGTGTGTGCGATGCGTGCAGTGCTGCGTGTGCTGTGCGTTGTGTGTGTGCGCCGTCGTGTGCGCGTGCCGTGCGTGCGTGTGCGTGCGTGCATGCATGTGTGTGTGTGGTGCTGTGACGGTGTGTGTTGCGTGCGTGCGCGCGGTGTGTGTGTGCAGCGTGGCGTGCGTGCGTGCCGGGTGTATTGACTGTATGTGAAGGCGTAACTAGCATGCGAGAAGCCGTGAAAGTTCGACTTGTAGTCTATTCTACAGCAAACTAGAGTAAATAATGAGATGTAAATAACCTAAATGGCTTAATCGTCACGTATATTCGTGACCCATCATCCACACGCTCGCTCGCACAAAATGCCATGTGAATGAGGGCTGTCCCTCATGACATCTTGAGACAGTCGCCAATATGATTGGCGCACCCCTCTAGAATTTCCTCAGGCTACGTCCTACATCTAATAAACAAACTCTGTTATACCCCGTGCTTAGCTTATCATCCCTTACAGCCTAATAAACAATAACTCTGTTATCCCACCAGTGCTTAGGCTAGTCCTACATCTAATACATTAACTCTGTTATCCCACAGTGATTAGGCCTCGTCCCTACACTAATAACAATAACTCTGTTATATCCCCATGCTAGCTACGCTCCCTACATCTAATAACAATATCTGTTATACCCCCGGCTTAGTACGCTCCCTACAGTATAATAACATACTCTGTATATCCCACCAGTGCTTAGGCTTCACCCTACATATAATAACAATAACTCTGTTATCCACAGATGCTTTAGGCTACTCCCTACATAATATACAATAACTCTGTTATCCACCAGTGCTTAGGCTACGTCCTACATTAATAACAATAACTCTGTTATCCCACCAGTGCTTATGGCATTAGCCTACACTATATAACACATACTCTTGTTATCCACCCAGTGCTTAGTGCTAACGTCCCTACACCTAATAACAATAACTCTTAATAATACCCAACCTAGTGCTTAGTACGTCCGTACACTATAATAACAATAATCTGTTATCCCACCAGTGCTTAGGCTACATCCCTACATATAATAACAATACTCTGTATACACCAGTGTTAGGCTACGTCCGCTTAATCTAATAACAATAACTCTGTTGTATCCCACAGTGCTTAGGCTACATCCTACACTATAACAATACTCTGTTATCCCCAGTGCTTAGGCTATACGTCCTACACCTAATACAAAAACTCTGGTTATCCCACCAGTGCTTAGGCCTACTCCCTACCTAATATAACAATAACTCTGTTATCCACAGGTGCTTAGGCTTAATCCCTACTCTAATTAACATACTCTGTTATCTTCCACAGTGCTTAGGCTACTCCCTACATATAATACAATTAACTTGTTATCCCACCGTGCTTAGAGCTTATACGCCTAATCTAATACAATAACTTGTTATCCCCAGTGCTTAGGCTACTCCTAACCCTTCAACAATAACTTGTTATTCCCACCAGTGATATAGGCTATTACGTCCCTTACACCTAATAACAATAACTCTGTTTCCACCAGTGCTCTTAGTCTACCTCCTCATCTAATAACATTACTTGTTATCCAACCGTGCTTAGCTATACGCTTCCCTACACCTAATAACAATAACTCTGTTATCCCACATGCTTAGGCTATTACGTCCCTACATCTAATAACAATACTCTGTTATCCCACCATTGCTTGGCTTAGTCCCTACATCTATAACATTTACTCTGCTTATCCCCAGTGCTTAGGCTACGTCCCTTCACCGAATACAATAACTTCGTTATGCCCACCAGTGCTAGCTAGTCCCTAATTCTAATAACAATAACTCTGTTATCCCACAGCTGCTTAGCCTACATCCCCTACATCTAATAACAATTAACTTGTTATCCCCAGTGCTTAGCTTACTATCCCTACATATATAGAACAATAACTCTGTATCCCACCATGCTATTAGCTATCCTACATCTAATACATAACTATGTTATCCACCAGTGCTTGCGTACGTCCCGTACTATACTACATAGACTCTGTTTATCCACCAGTGCTTAGCTATACGTCCCTACACCTCAATACATTACTCTGTTATCCCCCGTGCTTAGGCTACGTCCTTACACCTGAATAACATAACTCTTGTTATCCACAGTGCTTAGGCTACATCCCTAATTAATAAACAATAACTTCTGTTATCCCAGTGCCTTGCCTACTTCCTTAGCTTAAGAGCCTAATAAACAATGTAACTTGTTATCCCACCAGGGCTTAGGCCTACATCCCTCACTAATACAAGTACTCGTGTTTATCCACCAGTCTTAGGCTACATCCCTACATTTAATAACATAACTCTGTTATCCCACTCAGTGTTAGGCTACATCCCTACATCTAATAACAATAACTCTGTTATCCCACCAGTGCTTAGGCTACGTCCCTACATATAATAACAATAACTCTGTTATCCCACTAGCGCTTCGATGGACATGAGTCAGGTTAGAGCTATGAGGACGACTGAGTACCTGGACGACGAGACAGAGTACATACCGTGGAAGACTGCGCTGACGTGCATGGACAATGTAGATCTGATGCTCAGCAGAGATGCAACCAATGCAGATTTATTCAGTGTAAATGTCACATTGTAGAGCTATATATATATATAAATATATCTGTATGACTGTATATCTATATAACGTATTGTTGGCTAAAGAGAAAAGAGATAAAGAGCAAAACCAATAGATTGATTATTCAATCGATGTATTGATAGATGTGTATATGGATATATAGATGAAGCTTCATAATGGATAAACGAATGAATGTAAACAGCTGTCAAATATCAAATGCTTACACTTGAGGAACATTTGGCTACACTCCTTGCTTGTTCATCGTTAGACTTCGTGTAATCGACTGTATTAACTAGTAGTTTGTGAAGACACTAATGTTCGACTTCATAGTTTAGCGCATATACCGTGTAATACTGTATATGCTGTATATTTTGCGATGGTTTAATTTTTGCGAATTTCACGAACGGGTCCCGACCGTGAAAATAACAACATGCGAATAATTCATACCGAATAATACAGAATATTTCATAATTCACCGACCGCGAAATTAACCACTCGCGAAATTGTCCGTCAAGTCTGAATTCGCGAAAATATCTGTACGCGAAAAATATGGCATATACATGTAAAATAGTACATGTTTGGGATGTATATATAATTATATGGACTTTTTGTGTGTTTCAGACATACATGTTGAATAGAACTGACTTGCTCTATAACACCTATGGCTGGCATGTCTCCGAAGACCAGACAGATCATCTCCTCACGTATGCACAGAATAATTTAATTTAATGAATTAATAAATTAAATAATTAAATTTGTTTTAAATTAAATAATAAGATTTTCATATAAACCGCACATATAATAGATGTATGTACATAGGTGCGGTCGTGTATGTATGTGGATGGGTGGGGTGAGGGTGTTTATGTGTGATTGCGTGTGCGTATGTGATTGCTCGCGCGTATGGTACCTGTTGTCTCTCTCTCACTCTCTCTTTCTCCTCTGTCTCGTGTGTGTGTGCATGTGCGTATGCGCGCGTGTTCGTTGAGTGATTCAATATTTCTCGTTACCACCACGTGGGTAGGAATCTGCGCATTGAAGCGACGTCAACTGCGTGTAAATATAGCAACACTGAATGTCTCGCCGAAGCTCTGCTAGAATTCCAACAGTGGCAAGAAAGCGTAACTGCCGGAACACAGAATCCGTGAGTGAATTAAAGCAAGTCTTCATATTTGCTGCTTTATGCCGTATAGTCAATTATCTTAAACCGTTTCAGGGGTAGAAATGAACTTTTGAACAAGGGATTCCAACGGACTCCCTGCCCTCAAAAAGAGGGAGTCCGCAGTGTGAAGTTAAAAACTAAAGCATAACAACAATAATGCATGTGCTTATTTTGAAGATTTATGCGATGTACGTCTGCTACATTTTCTTTGGATATTTGCTGAAAAAATACCGTCATTTCGCGAGGCTGTGCTCTGGAACAAACTAGTTAGTATAGCAGAATTTTCAGGGAGTCACACGGACTCCTGCATATGTCAAATCCGGGAGTCCGACAGTATAAACCAAGGAGTATTTGACTCCGGACTCCCGTTAATTTCGCACCCTGCCGTTTCATTGAGCAAACGTATTGTGTCATAGGTCTACCAACCTGGTGGGTTTTTACATGCCCGGTTCGTCAAGTAAACCCTAAATAAAAATTCAAGAATCAAAAAATCTAATTTATATTTGTTCGAATGAAATCTAAATAATATTTTACAGGTAACTTGGTTTCATTAAGGAATATTTTTCAATATATAAGGGTCTGATTGTAATATATATATATATTTATATATATTGTGTATAAAGCATGTCGTATGAAATTCAACATGATTTAGAATGAATCTAACGGGTATATATAAACATATGCTTCAGCATCGCTGTGGATTATCGTTCCATTGTCTACTGCAACGGAATCAAGGCGGGTTCAGATCTAGAGTGGCAGTTGACCTGGGATACCTTCGTTGACAATAAATCGCCTCAGGATCGCAGTAATCTACTCTACGGACTATCCTGTTCAACGGAGGAGGATATTCTTAATAAGTAACGATGTTATGTGGGTTCTAAATGAAAGTATATATACATATGTGTGTGTATATATATATATATATGATACATTATCGTAGTATACCATCCCACTATATTCCACTATTCTATACATTAAACTAAATAAATCATTAATAAACATGATATATATACTCCAACTTCTGGAACGATAAATTCTCACAAGAGACATCATTTGCAAGTCCATGCTACTGCTGTAGGAATCCTAATTAAGTTTCTATTTGCAGGAATCTTGAACTGGCACTCAATGATGCTAACCTGGAAAATAAGGATGATGCCTATAGGATGATGTACTACACGGCTCTTAATTTTGCCGGACGGGACCTGACGTGGGAATTCGTCCAGACAAATTTCATCGCAATAAATAAAAGGTACATGCATGCTCGTAACGAGCACACCAATCAACTCCTCCAGGATCCACCATGACGTCTGTATGTGTCGTGCATGCGTGTGTGCGAACCCGTACATGCCTCGCGCCATCGATTATCATTCGTCATAATCTTTTAATTGAATTATATTAGTAGCGGTGCCGTGCGGGTTTTCTCTGCCATCTTGATTTTTCTCACAATGATCTCATCGTGCGAGATCTTCTATTGTAGCCTTATGCTTGATTTACCTTCAGGATTGAGCAGGCAAGACTCGATTCGGTTGTGACAGCCATTACAACAGGTTTCAACACAGACACTGAGCTTGAAGATGTAAGACCTCTTGTTTTTAAATAGGATCCAATGGATATATATAATAGATAATTTAAATATAATTCAATAGGATATAATATTGTGAATCAATACAAGTGCACCTCCCTCTGCTCATTTCGCTGAACCAATATTTAGAGGATCTTTCATATGAATTTATATGATTTAATTTAGAATATGATTTTATAACTAGACAACTTATGCTGCCGCATATAGGCTTTGCTTTTCTCATTTATCCTGTAGACCACAATATATAGGCTTTCCTTTTCTCATTTATCTTGCTTAATTCGCTCATCACTCGCCCACTTCTCCTCCTCTCAGTCTTAATGTTTCTATACAACATTAGGTCAAAAAGTTCCGTGAGAATCCCGGTGCAGTGGACAGCGAATTCAAAGAAATGTGGGATGCTGCTGAAGAGAGAGTAGAAGCAAACATCGTGTACATGGCCAATAATGAGGCCGAGCTGGTGCAGTGGCTGACAGACATCAACGCTGGCACGAGAGATGCGTTCGGAAACGTCCTTTAATGAATGCGAAACCAACAATCCCACTGATTAGGAGTCGAGATCGACCCCCCTGTTTGTATTTTCTGGAGAACAATAATATAATTAATAATATTATAATATATATATATATAATTATTATAATAATATTAATAATTAATATAATAATTTTTGGTAATTTGTTCGACAGCAATGACATCTGTCTTCTAGGCAACGTGTCGTCAGCGGTAATAGATTGACGTCACCGGTCCATTACCACTCTGTCACACTTGTGCTTGATATCATCAGTTTGCGAAAGGCGGATAGTTGTGACATATGTTCAATGTGTTACTATTTAATGCAGTTAAATTATATTTACAAATAAAGCTGTCGTAATTCGTGTTAGAATTATTTGTTTTGTTTTTCGACTCATTTAAAGAATTTCAGTTTCATAAATGTGATCGAACATTCTGTGCATAATAATAAAAGTGATGATAGGTATCTAATATTAACTTGTTCAGCGCTTCAGTGTTAGGAATTATTCTGTTGAAATGATTTATTACGAGTAAAGAGCACATATTCACGAGTAGCTTTGCGTGGAAAATGTGTCCAAAAATCACTGCCTGCTTTCAAATTACAAATATAGAGAAGATATTCACGAGTAATGTGATATGAGAAATATCTAACATTTATAATGCCACTTGTAAAATTATCGGTGCCCGATTCGTCGTTACAATTTTGCTTATATTGTGAACAAACGCCCATGCAGTATCTGCCAAATCTTTTATCATTTCGCTGACATTATAAATGTCGAGATCGTAACTCCTGAGCAGTTTGAGAAGGAAAAGTTCATGACGGAGGTAGAGAATGTACACGATTTTGGAAAAAGAAAAAAGTGCGGAGAAGGAAGATGAGGAGATATATGCAGTGATGATTAGAGAGATGAGGGAGGAGAGGTAAAGGAGGTGAGAATGAGAGGTAGAGGAGAGCACACATCATCTCCTCTCTCTCATTCTCACTTCCTCTACCTCCCATTCTCACCTCTTCTACCTCTCATTCTCACCTCCTCTGCCTCTCATTCTCACCTCCTCTACCTCTCCCACATCTCCTTTAACTCTCCCTTATCTCCTCCCTCTCATTCTCACCTCCTCTACCTCTCATTCTCCCCTCCTCTCTTTCATTCTCACCTCCTCTACCTCTCATTCTCACCTCCTCTACCTCTCATTCTCACCTCCCCGAATTCAAAATGAGAGGTAGAGGAGGTGAGAATGAAAGAGAGGAGGTGATGGAGAGGTAGAGGAGGTGAGAATGAAAGAGAGAAGATGAGGGAGAGTTAAAGGCTGATGAGGGAGAGTTAAAGGCTGTGAGAATGAGAGGGAGGAGGTGTGGGAGAGGTAGAGGAGGTGAGAATGAAAGAGAGGAGGTGAGGGAGAGTTAAAGGCTGTGAGAATGAGAGGTAGAGGCTGTGAGAATGAGAGGTAGAGGAGGTGAGAATGAGAGGTAGAGGAGGTGAGAATGAGAGGGAGGAGATGAGGGAGAGGTAGAGGAGGTGAGGGAGAGGTAGAGGATGTGAGAATGAAAGAGAGAAGATGAGGGAGAGTTAAAGGCTGTGAGAATGAGAGGGAGGAGGTGTGGGGGAGGTAGAGGAGGTGAGAATGAAAGAGGAGATGAAGAGGTGGAGGAGATGAGAATGAAAGAGAGGAGATGAAGAGGTGGAGGAGGTGAGAATGAAAGAGAGGCGATGAGGAAGAGGTAAGAAGGAAAGAGAGGAGAAGAGATAAATAAATAAGGCCTAATCAGAGGGTGACATAAAGGGGAAGAGAATGTGAAGGTAAGCGAGGCGATAGAGGTGGTGGATGGAGGGTAGGTTAAAATTAAGTTGGGGAGGTGAATGGATAGTTATAAGAAGGAGCCTAGCGTTATCAATTTCCTATACTTTCTTCCTTACTATAATTCCCGTCTCTTTATTCATGTCGAGCCATTATAGATCAGTTCAAGCTTTCCTCAACGTTGCAAAGTGCCTGAGGAGTATCCAAAGTAGGATTTGGTTGAGTGCAGTCCGTTCTCACAGTCAACAAGAGTTGTCATTACTAGGCTGAGTTATGATCTGACCTATTTGCATCAGGTTTGTTTAGTATTGTCAATCAGTTATGTTGTCATATTTATCTAACATAAGCACCGTGATCATGATGATAACCTATAAGACTAGCACGAATTATCTTGCTAACAAAATGTCGTCTTCTTACAATTACTGCAGCACCTTTTATCAGTGAATAACTGACGATGGGCATAAATAAGTAAACGTTAATTCATGAATCGCAACATTTGTTATGGTCACATATATCTGTGTTTTCTCAAACAAAATATTCATGATTAAAAATTGCTTTTAGTTAAGCGTTCCAATCTCGAACCTTGTAAATCCATCTATTCGAGTGCACGTCAATGATCTCACAGATATGTGCTCTTGATATATATATATATATATATATATATATATATATATATATATATATACATATATATATTGCTTAAGTCAAGGCGAACCCAACTACCCAACTGCTCTGCCTATCTAACAGCGAGCGTTTATCTGACACTGAACTTCTTGATACCAGAATCAGCTACGATCAATTCCGAACCCGATTAAATATCCGCATGTGTGCGAAGACGTCTTGAACGAAGGCGATATGTAACACAGGTGGTTCAAAGTTCATATTGACAAGAGCCACCTTCATGTGCTGCAGTAAACCCAAATAGGACCGAGACGAAGCACTGTACTAGCAAACGTCGGTGATGGCTCGCGCTAAATTTACAGTGAGCTCTTCGCAGGTGGCATTAGAGAGTCAGGAGAATGTCGATGGAGAGCAAGCTACCGTCGTAGTTACAGACGACAACGTCAAGGGATGTTGGCTGTCGACGTGGGAAATGCTGCTCATCGCTGGGATGGCAGCTGTGCTTGTGACAGCGTCAGGACTCGTCGTTGGTCTGACGGTGCCGGACTGCGGGGAGGCGCCGTCACCACCCCCTACTAAGCACGACGGTGAGAGAGAGAGAGGGCAAATAGAGGTGCAGCGAGAGGGAGAGAGAGATGGAGCGAGAGGGAGAGAAAGATAGCGAGAGAGAAAGAATGAACGAGAGGGAGAGAAAGAAAGAAAGAGAAGGAGCGAGAGGCTGAGAAAGAAAGAGGGAGAGAAAGAATGAAAGAGAGGGAGAGAAAGAAAGAAAGAGAAGGAGCGAGAGGCTGAGAAAGAAAGAGGGAGAGAGGAGTGTGACAGAGAGAGGAGGAATTAAAGAGAGGGGGGGGGAGTGCGAGGGACAGAGAGAAAGAGAGAGGGGAGTGTGAAAGAGAGAGAGAGAGAGAAGTAATGAAAGAGAGGGGGAGTGAGAAAAAGAGAGAGAAGGAGTGTGAGAGGGAGAAAAGGAATGAGAGAGAGAGAGAGCAAGGGAATGAAAGAGAGAGAGAGAAGAGGAATGAGAGAGGGGGCGAGAGAGAGAGAGAGAGAGAGAGAGAGACAGACAGAGAGATAGGAGAAGAGAGCGAGCAAGCCAGAGAAAGAGTGAGAGTGAGATGAGAAGTAATTAACAGTGATAATGATATGATAATATATGCTAATAATGAGTGTTGCTGTTTGCAGGGTGGCGTACCCCAGACACGGTAACGCCTCTACACTACGCGATAGAACTGAAGCCTTACCTAGATCCAGCTGACATGGACCCGGAGGATTTCTATTTCACAGGTATTTTCACGTTTAGAATTGCCCGTGTATTGCATCTACTCAAGAGCTAATAACACTAAGCTCATGATTAACTCGAGAGCTAATAATAGCTAATGTATTATTCGTTCTTGATCTAATGCTAATCTACCATGCGGTCAGCTGCTATTTTGTCATCATGCATTTCTTTCATCTATAACTTCTTTCTTCTAATAATCTAATATCTTCGAACAACGTGTTTCCTCAACTAAATCTGCAGGTTTTTTTGTCAAAGAAACTTGATGGCTCGGCCGACGTTAAGCTGGGTTTACACTACCGACTTTATGCAGACAAATTGACGAATTGGACAAACTTCCCAATATACAACCGACAATTGGCAGTGTAAACGCAAAAGTCGCGCGAGCTACTGGTCAATAGCAACTAGTTGGGAGATTAGAACATGTTCTATTTTCGCCAACTCGGAGTTGCCGAATTAGGAAATTGGTCCAACTCGCCAATTTGGCAACATAAAGTCGGTAGTGTAAAACCCAGCTAGATGATGTATTGATTACGATAACCGACGGTAGCTGTCAACTGCATTTCCTATTTTACTTTCTCTAGGAAACGTTAACATTACCGTGCGATGTGACAAGGAGACAAACAGAATCTACCTGCACACGCGGCGGCTGGAGGTGTCCGCCATACAGGTGTACTCCGCCAATGACGACACGGCAGCAGCCGTACCCGAGTTTGTCACGTCAAGTTACGATGCGGAGCGAGAATTCCTGATGGTAGATCTACGGAGCAAGCTCAACGTCGGTGCAACCTACTACCTGTACATGGAATTCACGGGGAAACTAGTTAAGGATCCGAACGCGATGAATGGTATATATCTGAGCAGCTACACGTCTGCAAACGGAACTGAAATGTGAGCGAGTTAGTCCAGTAACTTAATTATAATATCAGGAGTATAGAAGTTATAAGGTTTAGGAGTTATAAGGTTTAGGAGTATACGGTATAGAAGTTATAAGGTTTAGGAATATAAGGTATAGGCGTTATAAGGTTTAGGGGTATAAGATATATAACTATTATAATATCAAGAGCTAATAATACCTAATAAGAGGTATTATTAGCTCTTGATAATATCTATATTATACACGCCTGATAATATCAGAGGTGAATAGAAACATATTCATTCCTGATCATATTTATAGCTCATACCTATCTAACTCTCAGGTATAATGCAAATGGATGTATGGACGCGGTGTATGCAGTATAGTGTATATAATGCGTTTTTAAGTAGTATCTGTAATCCATGGATCCGGTGAAGAGCACATGTTTGTAATTGTGTGCTTTACTTGAATACCATTTCGGCAACAGATTGGAAATGTTTAAGAGCATTCGGTGAAACGTTATATGAGTGCCCGCCCGCCCCCTCTACACACACACTTTCATGCCCATGTAACGTACTATACCCGAACCCGTGTACTAGACACAACCAACATTATGGAGCTATATACATGGGTAGGCACGTCCATGCCCGCGTGCATTGACAGCGTGACGTCACACATGTCACACGTCCATGCCCGCGTGCGTTGACAGTGTGACGTCATTGTGACAGCATTGTTGGTAGTGCAGGTGGCACATGGCTAGCCAGCTAGAATCGACCTCAGCTCGACGAGTCTTCCCTTGCTTTGATGAGCCGAGTTTTTCTCCGACATACGAGGCTGTTATCTGGAGGAAGAAACATCACATTGCGCTATACAACACGCCATTGCTATCTAGTTCTGCAAGGTATAAAGTAAATTACGTACGCAATTTCTTTGCATATATCTATATTTACATACATAAAGATACATATAAATAACGGCATAGAATGAATAAGGAAAATGGGAAGAGAGCCAAAAGTAGTTCTAATGAGAGATGAGAGAAAAAGAGCGTGACATCAAGGGTTATCAATAGAAATAATGGGAAGTAGAGCGAATATGGAAAGAGTGAGAGGGCAAGAGAGAGAAAAAGTGCAGAAGAGTTATAGACCGAGGTGTATTTAAGGGTCAAGTATTGTATAGGTAACCCATATTTCCGCAATATCTGTTTATGTGTGTTTGTAATGTATTTTATATGTTTTATGTTGTATTCGGCTGACGTGTCTGCAGTGGGGAATGGATGATAGACCGGTTTGGTGTGACCCTCCCTATGCCAACCTACCTCAACGCATTTGTCGTCTGCGACTTTTCTATGATCGAAACCGAAACCATGCACGGAACACAGGTATGCCTACTATAGTCGAGCTTCTATTATTACATCAAATATTTAACCAAAACTTAAGTAACAGATCCTTTATATTATTTTATTTGATATCAAAATTTCGTGGCTGTTTACTGCGGTTAAATATCTAATATGCATACCGAACGCTAAATGAAAAAGCATAGTAATAGTTTGCTAATTTAGTTTGACGTTGCTATATCTGCTAGTTTCAATATTTACGTCGCAATATATATTTATATATAGTGCTTCACTATTGCTTAGCAGTATAATGAGCTATAGTCCGCGGCAGCGCGGCCGTGCCGCAGGTGCACGTATAATCAGTGGTAAAAGAGCAAGTCTCCGCCTTGCCTTGAACACGAGCGGCGAAGGCCCGGAACTGTTCGTCAGGTGCCTGGCGCAGTTGGAGCAGTTTAGCTCTCATGTAGCCGATGGCGACAGGAACGACAGCGAAGTGACGAACAGTGGCGAGGACCTCGGTGAGACTGCGGCTGACGAGCGCGGGGTCTGCCTTTAGCACCATGTCGCCGAGTCGATCAGACGCTGCATTGTCGTCTATGTCCGATCCGACGCGAAAGAGTTCCCAACGCCGCAGAAAGTTGTTCCATGCTTTTCCATGTTCTTGAAACCGGCTCCACGCTGCTGTCAATACGCGGGCGCTCTATGCGAGGGGCCCTTGAGCACGTGATCGGGGCTTGGGCAGGTCGATGCACGGCTCCGGCATGGATCTGCAGAATGACGATTGCCAGGGCATCACTAACGTCTTGGGTGATGAAGTCGCACTCGACGATGGGGGACTCGAATGTAGGCATCGTTCTTCAGTGATGTCGTTGAACATAAAGAATGACTCGTGCTAGCTGTCACATCATAAATATGTTCTAGAATGTTCAACGACACTGAAATAGGAAGAGAACAGAAACATGTAACACAACAATAACACAACTCCACACCTGCTACAGTAGTCTTGTGTTTTCTTTGTTTCTCACATCTAGGTGAGAGCTTTTTCGCAACCGGGCCGGATCGATCAAGCTCAATACAGCCTCCAAGCAACCAAGGACATTCTCGAGTTCTTTGAACATCATTATCGAATCCTGTATCCCATGGACAAATCTGGTAATGTGTTTATACGCCATAAGTATAAAGGCCATCCTCTTCAAACACATCTTTTTTTTTATTAGCCCTTATTTGAAATTAAAGATATACATCTATAATTAAAAGACGTATGCAAGAAATATGTATAGTTTATAGCGTATTCTAAAAAGTTTGTTATGTAGGTCAAAAACATAATGTTAGAATTTTTTATGACATTCACACTTTCTGTCGACGCACAAGCTTGGACGTGCTCCATGACAACGCATGCTCGCATTACTGGTTGACTACGATTAACATTGCTCTGCGTATCTACTCAGACTTGGTTGCCGTGCCGGACAAGGGTGGTGCCATGGAGAACTGGGGACTGGTGTTGTACAGAGAAGGTATAATGCTCTATGATACGGAGAAGGATTCAGTTTCGCAACACAAGAGCCGAGCGACAGTCATCGGTCACGAGATTGCTCACCAGGTGACTCTGCCGTAGCCTACAACGCTAGCTTAAAAGTGGGGCGCCCTGAATCCCTCATTTGGAAACCTTCAAGATATATTAAACCATACCCATCAGAATACCCCGTAGAATAAGGCATGCAGTGCTTATAGTGATTTCCTTGTATTTTTATTCCTGCGTAAAAACAACCGTGCATAAACCCATGTAACCAGCAAGTGGCGCACCATGCCAGGTTGGAATTGCAAACGCTGGCACCTATTTAGCATATCATATCAAAAGTCCATAATAGAAAATTCTCTTGATCATATATGGCTATGCAGCACCTTAGCATCAATGCAGCAACCGCTGCAATGCTGTCACCTATTTAAATTTACTTGTTTTGTCTGGCAGTCGGACTGACAGCATCGTAACCGTGTTTCAGTGGTTCGGAAACCTTGTCACCTGTCACTGGTGGACACACATCTGGTTGAACGAAGGTTTCGCATCGTTCCTAGAGTGGCAAGGGGCCGACAAGATAGAACCGGAGTGGAAACTAGTATGTATGACACAGGGGTCATGACCTCCAGAGGGAAGATGATTGGGGGAAATGTCCACCTTCATTTTTTGTAGAAACAAATAATGAAAAAAATAAACGTAAATCCCCCAACGTGTAATGACTGCGCAAAATTATTTATGATTCGACACATTCCTTCAATTGCATTGTCTTATTTGCAGTGGGAGCAGTTCGTAGTTGATAACCTACAGTCTGTGATGCGGTTAGACTCTGTCCCCTCTGCCAGAGCACTCGTCGTCCCTGACGACGTCATCAACACGCCGTCAGAAATCAGCTCAATGTTTGACAGTATTACGTACGACAAGGTATCGTCCACTATTTAACGTTTGAGACGTGATTTGAAATAATTTAATCACATAATATATTCAGCATTAATTACCAAGGGAAAAAACTGCGCATTTTCACGCATGCTTGCTATTTGTAAAAAAATGCCATTATCTTGATATTATGCATTTAAAAGAGACAGCCTATATTCAGAAGTATAGTTTACTATTACAATCTCTGTCCAGAGATCTTACATTAATAAGTCGCCGAACCTCTAAAACTGCCTTATAATATAATATATGCTCATATGTTTGTTCGTGCATGACTGGTAACTGCCAAGATAAATGCTCCTATGTTGATATATTGTACAGTTAGAATAGAGTGGCTACATAATGAAGTGTTAAAGCCCGTGACCCTTGGTCCTCTCTTTAACTACTGGTTCTGGTATTTCAAATAAGGACAACGCGGATGGCTGTTGAGGCGGCGTTAGAAACTACGTGCTATGTGTATATATATGTACGTGTATGATTCCCACCTCCTAGCCTGATGCAATGTAATGTTTCACCTCTATACCGTCTATTTTAGCGCTTAATTGATATATATGATGATGATATAATATTTTACCGATTCTTCGAGCTTTCAACCCCCTAGTATATCACGTGGGGGTAACGTGATTGGGATCCCTATCAACTTAAATAATGTGTAATTTTGCAATATGTAATTATTGGTCTTCTTCCTCTCATTTTATCCTCTTGGACTCCCCCGATGGGACATGAGGCCGTACTTATTTATCATTAGTCTAATTATTGAAAAAAATTTGAAGCTGAATTTTGTAACGCTTCTTCGATGTGTCTTGCAGGGTGGTGCAGTGTGCCGAATGATGGAGTACATTATGGGGACAGACAGCTTCAACAACGGTTTAACGGTAAATCAGACACACAATGCTTGACGTGTCACAATGTTACTGCGGCTATCCACGTGCTCAGCAGTTTCAGCGTGGTCGTGAATTATATCTATATATTATCCAATAGTAACTTAGATCGCCGCAGTAATCAAATCATAAACAGAATCAATGATACGTCGCGGTTGCCAACCTTCGCGTCGTCGACGGCATTTGAAGATGCTGCTGCTGCTGCTACTGCTGATAATGATGCTGTTGCTGCTGCTGGTACTACTGCTGCTGCTGCTGCTGCTACTGCTGATAATGATGCTGTTGCT